GGTGGAGAAAAGCAGACACTTTGATGATGAGGTGGTCGGAATAAATGGAAGCTGGGCTGGACAGAACCGTAGGAGTGAGTTGTGACCGCACTCCTGGGAGCACCACTCCTGGGAGCACCACTCCCGGGAGCACCCATTTCCTCATTCCGGATGTTAAGATACGAGACACACCTAGGTGCTCTTAGATCCTGGTACACAGAAGCATTCAGTAAAAATTACGTATTCTATTCTTAGACGTTGTTCATAACACATATTTAGGACGGTTCATGAGCGAAGGAAGTATACAGATCTGCCCAGCGTAGTGCTGAATCCGTGGCCCAAACTCACTACGTGGCAGCAGCGTTACTGTGTCTTTTTTGCAGGGAGGCGTGTCTTTCGAGGGAAGAAGAGTCAGACGGTGCCCGGAGAGTCACATTTCACCTCCGGCGATATAACTGAAATGTTAAGATGGTACTGGTAACAGAGACCAGAGGTATTTTTAAACATGCTTGTGTTCGAGAACAAAATTTGTTAAACAAGCGGGACCTCGATTTTCACATAGCATGGGGTTTATCCGTGTCGAAGTGTTCAATTCCTTCATAAGGTTCTTAAAAAAAAAAAAAATCGAAGCCCGCTGGCCCCCAGCCGTGCCGACGGGTAAGAAACCGGCGGCTGGAAACTGTGGGAGGTGGCGCGGGGCCAGGGCACGGACGGACAGAGGCTGCGACCCCACGGCTCCTGGAAGAGGACGCGCTGACGGGGACCCAAGCGGACCGGGGCGGGCTCCTCCCCAGAGGATCACGACCGGCGGCGGGCGGCGTCTCCCGGGGCCTCTCCTCCCCGCGAGCGCGCCAGGGAAGGGCCCGCCGGCGACACGGAGGAGCGCGACGCCGCTCCGCGGTCCCCACAGAGCGACCGAGGAAGGGGCAGCCTCGCGGACTCCGACCTCGTACGCCCCCCGCCCGAGCCCAGGCCCGAAGAGCCGGGAGGGTGTGCTCCCGTCGCGGCGAGGACACCTGAGGAGACTCGCGGGCCGAAGCGTGTGGGGGAAGGGGGCCGGGACGCCGTCCCATCCTCACACCCGGTGGGCGGCGGGGCCGGGGGCGAGAGGGATGGAAGGACCGGGCGCAGCCGAAACTGGAGGGTGGCCA